CTCTCCCTCTCTGTCTCCCACGGTCTCTCTAAAAAAACAATCAATGAAAAAAATATCCTCACTATTCGGGTGAAGATAATAGAAGAATAAAGAATTAAATTCAGAAAGGTTACAGGATGCAACATAAACATATAAATACGAGTTCAATTTCTACACACTAACAATATATTCTTTGATAGAAAAATGATGAAGGAACCTGATTGGTTTGGCTCAGTGAATAGAGCGTCGGCCTGCGTACTTAATGGTCCCAGGTTTGATTCTGGTCAAGGGCATGTATCTTGGTTGTGGGCACATCCCCAGTGGTAGGTGTTCGGGAGGCAGCTGATTAATGTTTCTCTCTCATCGATTTTTGTAACTCTCTATACCTCTCCCTTCCTCTCTGTAAAAAAATCAATAAAATATATTAAAAACAAAACAAAATAACAAAAAAAAACAATAAAATTCGCAGGAATAAATTCAACCCAAATGTTAAACATCTGTACATTGAATACTATAAGACAGTGATGAAAGGAATGGAAGAAAACACAAATAAGTTGAAAGACAACCTGTGTTCATGGATCTGGAAATGAAATATGGTGGAGACAGCTGTAGTACACAAAGCAATCTACAGATTAAATGCAATCCCAATAATTCCAATGGTATTTTACAAAAACATCAATAGAGAATCTTGCAATGGAATCAAAACCTCCATTAACAAAATCAATCTTGAGGGAGAACAAAGCTGGTGGCATTATACTTCCTGACTTCATTTTATTACAGAGACAAAGCAAGCAAACAGTGTGTTGCTGGAGAAACACAGACACATACATCAACAGAACAGAACAAAAAACACATAGAAATAAGCCCAGGCACAGACGTTGAAGAATCTTTGACAAAGCAGCAGCCACAGAAGGAAGGAAAGATAATTTCTTCAATGAATGGGGCTGGTAATAATCAACATTCCCATGTAAAACAACAAGAGCTGGATACTGTCAGGGCACATGGAGGGGACAACCAATGAATGCATAGATGGGTAGAACAGCTGATCAGTGTTTCCCTCCTTTTCTCTGTCTCTCTTCCAGTCTCTCAAATCAATAAATAAATGCTACTGGTATGTCTCACTGATTGAGCATTGACTCATGAACTAGACGATCACAATTCGATTCTTTAACATCAATAGAGAATCTTGCAATGGAATCAAAACCTCCATTAACAAAATCAATCTTGAGGGAGAACAAAGCTGGTGGCATTATACTTCCTGACTTCATTTTATTACAGAGACAAAGCAAGCAAACAGTGTGTTGCTGGAGAAACACAGACACATACATCAACAGAACAGAACAAAAAACACATAGAAATAAGCCCAGGCACAGACGTTGAAGAATCTTTGACAAAGCAGCAGCCACAGAAGGAAGGAAAGATAATTTCTTCAATGAATGGGGCTGGTAATAATCAACATTCCCATGTAAAACAACAAGAGCTGGATACTGCTGATAAAATTTAACTAAACCTGCAGGACAGAATTAAATGTCAGCGCTAAAACTTAAAATTCTTCAGGACAACCTAGAGAAAAAGTTTTGGAGGTTTGTTTTGGACAGAATTTCCTGAATGTGACACCAACCACCACACAAAATAGAAAAAATAAACAGTCCACACTGCAACAAATAAAGAAAAATAGCCAAAACCGGTTTGGCTCTGTGGATAGAGCGTCGGCGTGCAGACTGAAGTATCCCGGGTTCGATTCCGGTCAAGGGCATGTACCTGGGTTACAGGCACATCCCAGTAGGAGATGTACAGGAGGCGGCTGATCGATGTTTCTCTCTCATCAATGTTTCTGACTCTCTGCCTCTCTCCCTTCCTCTCTGTAAAAAATCAATAAAGTACATTTAAAAATAAAAAATAAAAATAGCGCCTTCACTGCACAACAGCAATAAACAAAACGCAATGAAAGGCGATCAAGAGGACGGGAGACTATACTCGAAAATCATATGAAGGAATCTCTTGGAGATATTGTGGATTCAGCTCTGATCAGCACAATAAAGCTAATATTGCGATATAGACAGACATTCACACAAATAGTTGGAGTTCCCTGGGAATAATGAAGGCATGTTAATACTATACTGCTGGCTAAGAACAATGCAATGACTCTGCCTCAAAAGCAAAGTCTATATAACTTCATTAACAATATTTAATTGCTAAGCACTAATAACAAGCACCTGAGCTTGCTAGACACATGGTGGCACTAGACCTGCTGAACGCAGGGTTGCCAAAAAAAAGGACTTCGTAGAAAAGCTGGTGTGGGGGAGTAATATCTGCAAAGCACAATTAAGCACATGCAAACATATGTGTTCCTGTATGTCATAGGCAATTAATATATAAAATATACATGGTATTCCAAAGATTCTTTAACAAAAAATAATTAGTTAATAAACTGGAAAAGGATGTAGAGACAATTTTTCAAATAATATTTACGCATGACAAATAGGAATACAGAAAATGCTTTCTTTTTTTTTTTTTCCTTCTTCTTCAGAAAATGCTTCCTTCACTACTTATGGTGGAATCCCTTACATGTCTACAACACAACCAACCACAAGCCCTTCCCTGTGAATTTAGTGGAGCGGGGAGTATTGGGACTTCAGGAATAGAAGGGAGCAGTGGAAACAGACCAACCCTCCCAAGGACAGCAACTACCCTGGAAACTGGAAAAAATCAAGCAGTACCACAGTCTACATGGGAGGACAGAGTACACCCTGGGAGATGGGGCCTGGGAAACCTCAAAGCCAAGTCCAGGTCACTGGTGAGAGTGAGGGTCTTACCCAGGGAAGATAGAAGTTCAAAGTTCTCCAGCATCACATTCAGGTACAGCTGTCTCTGACTCTCATCAAGAAGGTTCCATTCCTTCCTGGAGAAGTACAGGGCAATGTCCTCAAAGGTCACGCCAACCTGTCA